CCGGGTCTGCACTGGGCTCTTCCTAGTTGGGGCGTTTGGGCCAAGCTATGCTCAGGGCAGACGGTGACAGCACTGAACAGGGGGGTCAGGGGGCTATGGCAAATTCTGGGGTGGCTGCAGCCTCCCCCTGTAGCCTCCCTCCCTGCACCCCCCAGATGAGCTCCATTCCATGCCCTGCCCCCCGCCCCCCCTGGCTGTGCAGCACCTGCCCGTCCCAACCCCATTCCCACTCCCTCTCCCTCCCTACCCCTGCTGCAGCCACCAGAAGCCCATGGCTAGGCTGTCTTGCAGCCCTACCACTGCCTTGTTAGCCCCCCCTTCCACCACCTATGCTGACGGTGTCTTTAGTTATCATGACCATTGCCCTTGCCTTTTGTCTCTCTTATTTTTGTTAGCTGTCCTGTTGGAGCTTTTTGCATCATGTCAAAAGCAAAACAGATATTGAGGAGCTCTGTATTTGCACTTTAGCTAATAACTCACCCTGGCTATTAAGCAATGGCCCCATGGCTTCTTTGGTCTTTTGTTCCTGTCCAACGTATTTAGGAAGAGCCTAGAAATCCTTGTTGTTCTTGAGATCCCTCAGGTGAAAACCATTTTTAATCTGTGATTACCTAATTTTATCCTGGCAGGTTCTTTCTTTTTCTTGAGTTCGTATGGGGTCTGAACTGTTTAGGATTAGAGATTCTGTGGTTATGTCTCACACCAACAACTCCATTTTGAATATAAGGTTGTTTATCTTTTGTCTCCATACTTAGCTAACCATGGAAAACAGGAGAAATTCTGGTACCTTGTACAGGGCTACCAAACAATGATTTCCCTTTTAACTTCTATTAGGAGGAGTCTAAAAGACAGAATAAATTATTTTTTTTAAGTCTGAACCTTGAGTTTGGGAGGAACAGAAGAAAGGATGGAAAGCGAGGGGATGGACCTAAACAGCAGATCACAGAGCAGGGGAATTCAGAGGAACTCATTGCAGGAACAGCTGTAGGAGAAGAAGTAGAAAAATGTCTAAGACAAGATGCCATGATTTGGAGAATGGGCCATGTGCGGCAGGGGAGATCATGGACTCCTTAAAGGAGTCCAACCAAAGCCCAAGCAGCACTCATTGTGAGGAAATTGAAACAAAGCCATTCATAACCTGTCTTTTTTACTGCTCATTCTACCAAACGTGAAGACTGTGTCCGTTTGCTTAAATGAGCACATGTTCTCTGAAGAGTTGGACTGTAAATTCAGACAGACTGCACAACCAGAACTCTGTAAAAAAGGTGTGCTTAAGCTTTTGGGGAGCCTGAGACATGTTGTGAATCAGCACTGGTCCTGTGCCTAAAACCTCTGGTATGAAAGGTCACAGATAGAGCTTGTTTCCATGAAGGATTTCAGAGATGGCAAAGAAAGAGACAGCACTGCAGCCTACTCAGAGCAAATCAAACTTAATAGCACATGGCCCAGTGATAGGCTCCATATAAAACAATTTGGCATATCTCCAGCTCTGCTGAGTGACAACCTCCCATAGACTATAACAGATACTAATTTAGCTTTCTTTAATGAGAAGTGACACAGCCTCTTAGAAAGTCACATGTACAATCTACCTTCTAAACATCTGGGGAACTTACTAAAGTTTTCTAAATATTTTATTCACATGTATGTCAAGTACAGAATATACACTGTAAATGCAAATGACAAAGTGTATAGAAATCAGGCAGTAGCTTTATTCTGAGAAAACTTATATGTGAAAGCATTTGATACAGTGCTTGAGGATATAAAAAAAAAATTCCAACATTAAGCAAACTGTAAAAACTGATTTCTGATACCTAGTTTGCTGTTTATTTTACCAATGCAATTCAGTATTATTAGTTTATAAACAAAGCGTACAAATAAAATCTTAAAAGAAAGAAGCATTCCAAACTTATACTAAATACCTAAAAAGGCTCTTATGGAACATCTAAATATCCACTTAAATAACAGTAAAAGCTTTTGTATTAAAGCAAAAGCTGGTGGAAAGGAGAAAAACAAAAATGATTCACAAGTTGAAGATGTATTTTCCCCTTAACGTTATGCTTAAACAAACTAGTATGTCACAAATTTTATTATTATTATTACTTAGACCCATAATCCTGCACCTCTTATACATGCAAATAATTTGAATGCAATGAGACTACTCACACACACAAATGCATGTGGAATCAGAGTCTTAATCAGGGTATTAGTTATCCAACTATGTAACAGGGGTCTGAGTGCAGGCACAGGGGTCTGACTACAGGGAGCTCAATACAGTTTCAAGTTACACAGTGCAGAAACCAGTTAAACACCACCATAAATGATGGGATAAACATTTTACACTTAAATAAATATAATCAAAATAAATGCTTTCACAGACAGAATATGCAGGGACTTTCCATTTACTTTTAAAAAGCAAATAGTATTGATATTTTATATTATAAACATCATGGAACAAAACAAAAAGCTGCGATAAATGGATTAAAATATACTTGATGATTAAAAATATATACTCTTGTATTTCTCTTCTATTACAAATAATTTTATTTCCATAGACAATTTATATAAACACTATATAACCCAAGTAACTGTAAAAACACACAGTTATAATTAAGCTTATCACTGCATATACAAAATAAAATCTGCTAGTCTTCCTTTTGCCAAAAGATTGTGCAAGAAAAATGATTCACCTTAAAGGGACACCATCGGTTTAAAAATCATGTGAGTCTGAAAACAATTTACTTTGAAACAAACACCTCCTAAGGATTATTACAATTGAAAGAAATTAAAGATTACTCCCATTTATTTACTCCAAGGATGACCCTTTGTGGACCATCAGTTTCCCATTGTTCTTTTTGGTGTTTTTACGTGGTAACGTGGGATAGAAAAGCTTTTAAAAGGAATGGTAAAACATCACTGTAAAACTAGACAGGAGTCAAACAGTTGTAAGTGACCAGCTTGATGGTGTCCTGTTCATATAGATTTGTAAATATGTGTGCAAATGTATGTAGATATGCAAGAGTACAACCAAATACCAACTCTCTGCAGTGAAAAATTAATGTCACACCTACAGGATATATCCTCAGAAAATTCTGCTTCATGAGAGCAATTACACAGCTGTGCCATCTGGTGTTAAAATACCCAAATGGCCATTTTCTAACTAATGTTCAGATTTGCTAACTGTTCTTTCTATTTGAGCAAATGCATCCAAATTCCCTTTACCACCCCTAAATCACTTGAGGTTAGATTTTGCCTTCAGAAGGCAATTTTTAAAAATAAACTTCAGGCATTTAATTTCTGTTGTAAAAACTCTTACTTGAAAATATTTAGGAATCCTGTTTTTGCTAGTAGATACAGACACATTCATTTCTTGGGTCTTTAGGATTTCAGTTTGTGTTATTTATAAAGTCTACAGGGGTGGAATTTCAAAGTTTCACAAGATATCTCAAAGCATTTGACAAATGCATAAAGCACCAACTACTGGAAACCCACAAACAAGGATACTTGGGGATTAAAAAGGGAGAGAAAGCAGCATGGTAGCAGGGAAAGGGAGCACTAAATTGCCCACCTCACCCAACCAAGAAAACCCAAACAAACTAAACAAAAACCCCAAGACAAAACCAAATGGAGAAGCAAACAGGGGCCAAGAAGATTTCTCTCACTTTCACACCCAAGGAAATAGCATTTGGATAAAAATAATGCGGCAAATTAATATGGATTTATATATTGCAGTTCCTGAACCCTGATGTATAAGCCTAGGATGCTCTATGGAGAAGATTCTCTTTTTTAGCATTCAAGAAGCACCAGCTGCTTGTTGGGAGTCCCACAGAGGACTGTCAGAGGTTTGACCAACTACACAGAAATAAAAGCAAAAAAAAAAGAGCAGCTCTCTATAAGCAGTGTGGCTTGCTAGAAAAGGTGTGGAGATTAGTTAATCTGTTAGTTAGTGACAAAGTAACCATTAACTTTTTCCTAATGTAGACTCAGGTTAATACATTTTATATTTATTTATGTGGGAGAACATGACACTTAAAGCCAAGTTCTGTTCTACTTACTAGGTGTGTAAGTGGACTTAAGTGCCTACGTGCGATTCTATGACATTCTGCTCTGGTTCCTGAAAAAGTTAATAAAAAGGTGGGTTGGTCCTCCTCCTCTTTGCTGCTTTTTTTGTGATTCACTTTTAGAATAAGATGCTGGTGTGTTACAAAAGCAGATGCATTAATGGATTTTCCGAGACTTGAACAACGAATCACACTTAGGTGCCTAAATTCATTTGGACACTCAATAAATGGAATAGGATCTGGCCCCTAAAAGTCAATCCTCAAGGGAGCCTATCAGCTATATTAAGGTAAAGGGTATTGATTTGAATCTATCTCAGGAAAATGGTTTAGCTCAGGGCTGTCCAACCCATGGCCTGCAAGGGGTTAACTCTCAGCCTACAAGCTCCTGCTCAGCTACCACTTCCCCTATTCCTTCTGCTATTGTGTGTATACACACACACGCACACGCACCATGTGCACACACACTGGCAGCAATTCCTGCAATGGCAAAAGCCATGTCCTGCCTACCCACCCTGGCTCCTTGCAGCCCCGTGGACATGTGAGCTGGTGTGTGTGGGGAGCTGCAAGTTGTCATGCACCGGGGTTCCCCTACACCACAACACAGCCCCATTGAGGAATGGCCTGTCCTAAAGCAGCTGCTGGAAGTGGCAGTGCAGTAGCACTCCCCCCTCATGATTGGCAGGTGAGAACTAGAACACTTGGGGCAGGGCAGGGTAGGGAGCTTGGAGCCAGGAAACCTCTGTACATAGGCAGGCAGCAGAGGGTACTGGTCCAGCTGCAGCTTGGGTGCTACCAGGCAAAGCTGTAGCAGTATGGAGGGACTGAGACAGAAGGGGATGTTCCATGTGGCACATGGGTCCCAGCCACTCAGGATTTGGACAGCCCTGATTTAGCTAACGTATATTAGCTAATTTTGACCTAACCTCAACTTTGTTACCTGACAAATCCCACTTGACTAAATGCTCCAGCTGGCCATTAGATTCCCTCTATCTACTACCTATACATTATGGTTATTTAGCCCCCTGCCATTCAACAAGTAGATTCACATGGCATAGTATATGGCCATGAAATACAAAGCCCCCTGACCAACTGCTGCTTCTTGACTCAGAGCTATATAGCCATGGTAGAGTCTCCTGCTTTCCAGGATGCACATCCTTATACACAGAGATGGTTACCAGAAATCTGCTATAGCAGCTTGAAGTCCTGAGAGTTCTGTGGCAAGGCTGGTAGTGCTTGGAGGACTGGCAATTTTCACCATGAAACACAATGTTTCCATAGATGAAAACAGTAAATTGAAATGGAAGTGAAAGCTTATTTACCAAATACAGGTACTTTTGGGATGGATGGGTTGTAATCTTTGAGCTACCTGATATAAACAATCAGCTGGTAAAATACATTAACAGATTATTTAGAAGAAAATGTGAAAAAAAATTAATTTTAATGTCAAACATTGACAACCATCATCATCTATTATGAACTGGGAAAAGAGCAGCACAGGTGCCGCAGGCGGTAAGTTTTCAGAACACCAAAAGACGCAGGAATATTACTGGCAAATTCGGACAGTTGACATAGCTGACTACAAAAGGAAGATACATACACCTGAGTTGTCACATACACCTGAGTTGTCTGCCACTCCACTCACACACACAATACAAAAATAATTTGTAATTAATTCCTTATGTGAGAAACATAAATCAGTAACAGATGAACTAATAAGTTTTCAGAACTAACAGTAATAGAATTACTGTCGTCCTTGAACAATTCCATTTATGCTCTCATACAAGCTCACAATAAACTTTACGTGTAGCAAAAAACAGCAAATGAGTGTTTAATAATATAGAACTATTTGTAATTCTCTTATTTCCCAATAAATATATTAAGCCATTAGACTTGAAAACAATAGATTTATGGTGTGTTTATACCAGGGTATTTTTTAATGCCAATCAGCAGTGGCTCAGAGGAAGCATCTTAGACTTAAATGGTGTTTACAAGTATTCACACCTTAAATAATTTATTCATCATTAGGAAGCATTAACAGGCAGACACTATATTTTAAATTGCTTCATAACAGTATATCAGAAAACTACATTGTGACATTATCCAACCACTGTCATTTCAGTGAGGATCTCACTGATTTCCAGCTGCTTAGTCTAGTATCACAGTCTAATCAGTTCCATTTTGTTCTGCAGAATCCTTAAATTCAAATATCTAACCCAGCCCTTGGTCTGGTCTGGGCTAAATCCCAATGAAGGTAAAGCATTTTGCATTATTACTTTCCATCAAGGAACCCAGGCACTTAATATTACCCATCTCATTTTTACTCTTTACTGTTTTAACATCTTGGCTCTGCTGAAGTCAACAGCAAACCTTCCAGTGACCTCAACAGAGTATTTTTATACCACATCTCAGATCCACTCAAGTCTGTTTCTCTCTAGCTGAATTTAGGAACTTTCAAGACAAAGTGCATATTTAAAGGAGGCATTTAGATATAGATGATAAACTTGAGCGATATTTAGATTCAACATAGGGTAAGCTCTCTACAAGAGGCCAGATAAAGGCACAATACTTGCAGGTACTGTAGCCAATACAGCGTTTAAATAATATAGACTAAATAACCATTATAATTTTTAAATTAAATTGATGAACACTTTTATAATATTATTTCATAAAAAAGCAGGTAAGCTTGTGCATTCAAAACTCTTGATTCGGGAACCATTTGTACATGGATATCACTAACATATACCCATTGTCCTGTGGATGCTCCTACAGCTTCTTTTAAACCTGAAATATAAAGCAAAAAAGTCAATGTTCACTGCCTTATATCTTTAGCATCCAACAACTCAATTGGTGCCTCCCAATGGGAAGTGGCAGAATACCTTTAAACTCAGCAATTAGTCAGGAGTTAGATGTATATTCATGTATATCACATTTATATTGAATAGGCCTAAGTGGTATCAAGCTTTTGTTTTGTTTTTACTTTGTAACCACTTAAATGCATCTTGGAATGCCTTAGTCCAAAGCCAAAAGGCTCATAATTTACCCCACAGTTCACTGAGCAGGCCCCAAATGGGCCCCCAGCAGAGTCAACAGCTTTTCAAGCCAAGGTAACCCTGCGTGTACCCCAGATACTCCCCATAAAGGATCCATGTGTTAATTAGCCCCACAGTCATAACTGGAATTGGGCGTTCTCATTACTAGTCTTGGACTCCTCCAAAAATTTAGATGCAGAAGAGGTGCAGGGCAATATGTTCTGGCTCCACCTCACGGAGGGCAGGGCCACACTAAACATATGAGACAGGCTGAGAGAGGGGGTGACAGAGGGATTCTGGGTGAACTGTTTGGGGCCCCATTTGGTAATGTTTGCCAGACAATTAACACTGGTGAAGAAACAAGAATCATTGGAAATGGGCATAAAAGGCACAACTCAGCTGTGGGAGTGAAGAGGAAGTTGAAATGTATTCAAGTGGCTCACCACGACTTGGAAAAGGAGCTGGCGATAAGGGGGTGTAACAATGCACAGGTTGTGCTTGTCAGTAAAAGGGGTGTGGGCAGGCAGCAGAGCAGCCTGCAGGTGGCTGTACTTTCAATCAGGTGTTACATGCCCAGCAGGAGACCGCTTGACTGGGAAGTGGGCCCAGATGCTGGATATAAGAGCAGTGGGCCAGCAGTTTGCTGGAGGGAGCATCATCTGGCTAGAGCTGCTGCTCACAGAACATCTTGGAGGTACAGGGCAGGAACTATGGGGATGGTGGAGGTTCCTGGCGCTGGGGCATGACCTAAAACTACATTTTGCTGGGGCTGGATGGTGTGGTGGGGCTATCAGTAGTGGGGTAGTCTTCAGGAAATGCCATACCTGTGCCTCCCCAGTGAAAGGCAAGTATGGGGCACCAGAAAGCCTCAGTCCCCATCACTTTGTGGGTTACCCCATGAAGGGGAAAGGGTAGGGGAGCACACCCTGAAGATAAAAGCACAGGGCCCAGGCTCATGAAGTGAGGCCTAAGGTGAGGTCCAGGCTAAAGAAAGGCGCCTGCAGCAGGGCACAGGTCCACAGTAAGGCCTGAGGCCCCAAATGGGGGGTGGGATGTTAGCTACATGTGGGACAAGCCCCAGTGTGGGGGCACAGGATAGAGAGCCCAGTGTGTGGGTATGGGATGATAGGCTGGGTGAGGCCAACTAGGGTTAGGCCAAGAGAGGCCAAGGGATGGTCCAGCTAAGGGACCAGGGTGTTGATAGATATGGATGCCAGCTGCGAGACATGGGACACAGTATAAGGGGAGGTTTGGAGCTGTGCATAAACCCTTGGCATCAGGACAATTAAATGGGCAGCCTCTCACCTGGGAACATCATAATGATCCATCTAAGGTGTGGCAGGAAAGACAGGCAGGCGGTTAGCCCTAGACAAGTGGGCAGGCTAATGATTAGACCAGCCCTGGGAGCTCCATTTGTTACAGGGGGGCTGAAAACAATGGTCACTAGCATGTATTCTATTCAGATGGGCTGCACTAACTTATCCTTTGTGGTAGGTTCCCCTCAGTATATTTGTCCAATATTGCCCATAGATTTTATAGCCATGCTCAATGTAGGCTTTATTTAATCAACTTCATAGTCGGTTTCCATTACTGAGCATATGCTGCTTTTGGCAGCAGTTTAATGACAGACACTGTATTTAATGAGGTTCCATTGTATGTGAATGTAAGGCAAGGAGCTGTTTTCCTTTTGCTGACTAGAGAAAAAACCCCTCATATTTGGGTAAATACAGAGTGTGTGCACGCGTGTGTAGCAATTGGATGAAGAAATGTAGTAAATGATTAATTCTGTTTGCTCAAAGAGGGAAAAAAGGTTTCTTGTACATACCTAGACCATTTTTATTGATAGAAATATGCTCCAGTAATTTCTTGGAGGGTGATCGGACTTTCACATATGCTGCATAGTGACCACCTCGCATTGAACCACTGTGTTCTACGATTCCATAAAGACTATATAGAACTTTTGCTCCATCTGTCACATTCTTATTTACAAAACCACAGAAAATAAAAGTAAAGGAGTTATCTTACATAGTGGGTTATTATAACATAAATCAATAATCTTCCTATGTAACATTTAAGGAACAGGTAATTATAAACAGCTTTTTGCCCTGCTAAATTAATTTAAGAAACAAAGGTTTGGTTTAATAACTAAATCATTTTTTTAACACCACTGCTGTCTAATGTACGTCTGCAGATGCACTGACTCAATGATGCCAATTTACAGTAGTTTAGGATCTCATTCTAGGGTATGTCTGAAAACATTAGATCAATAGCTTCTCCAAGAGAAAATAATCTGGTTTTATTTGTATCCATAACAACTACAAACACAGATCTACAATAAACTAGTTTGAAAAATAACTAAAAAGCTATAAAATGTACTTCTAATATACCGTACCTTGCAGGAAGCAGAACAAAATGGTGCTAGGTCTAAAACCAGTGGAAAATCCACGTGCCTATTTACTTTCCGCAGACTCAAACCAGCCTCCAAGAAAGATAAAAAGATTGTAAACAGAAATATTTTACCATGGTTGTCTTTTATACATAGGCATATTGCTATTATAGCTCCCCCCACTTTTTGAAACCACTTCAAGAGTATATTTTTCCATACCCTTAAATAACGTGAAAAGCCAAAGCTGAAAACAAGATTTGTAATAAATGCAAATATAAGCATTCACTTAGTTTCAACATAGTACATATTACACACAAAAATAGCGCAGAAACGTTTGTTTAAGAAGTAGAGTGGCTCACAAGTTAGGCAATACCACATCTGCAGTTGACCATGCAATGTTTATTCTGTCTCTTTGTGTATTCATCTTGTGCAGTGAAAGAAACGGTGCTGTGAAAAACAGACGTGACTAAATATTATCATAGACTATCATATTGCATGGACATAGAAGGCCATATTTAAGGTGCAGGGCAGCCATAAATTTGGCATGTCTCAACTTTTGAGTGTTTGACTTTGTAACCAAAGTAACCTGGTAAAAAATGTTAATGCAATTTCTCATTATTTGATTTTACAAAGAATAAAAGGTAAGATTCTGTTACACAGAATTGTACTAACTCCCTATCACCCGCCATGAAAAAGCACAGGCCCAAACCTTTAGAATATTCATGTTAAATTATTATTTTGGCATCCTGCCAATTTTTCCTTGCATAATGCAAGTCTCACAAAGGAAATAGCAGTTTTCAACAGTTTACATCTCACTGCCACAGACATGGAATTTCCGTGACAAAAGACACTATTTTCATTCTCTTTCTCCCTGCCAAATTTTAAAAGGCCAGCTGCAAACATTGGAGGTGCTGGAACAGGGGTTGGCAATGTTTTTCGGCAGAGTGCCAAAAACACCCACAACCTCGACTTCAAGGATGTTGGTGTGCCGGGGTGGATGTGGGGGGAGCTGCAAGGGGCCCGATCTTTGTTGTGGCTGCCTAGTCCCAACCCCAGCCCCGCTGTTCACCCTGAGGCATGTATGACAAGCAAAATGCTTTCGTATGCCACGTTCTGGCACCTGTGCTGGAGGTTGCATACCCTTGTGTTAAAGCCTTGCAAAAAAGGAAATCTCATATACTGGAGCTCATATATTGGAAAGTGTAAAGAAATCTAAATAAAGCAGTTGCTACCAGCTCCCTAGATAGTATGCACACAGAGATGCACTAGAACTCAAGCTCCAGAGACACAAACAGTGTGGTTGAGGAATATACTCCGCAGCAAAATGCATGCTACAAAATAATTTATTTATGATAAATACATAAAAATTTATGCTTACAATTTATACTGAACTTATACTTACTGGTATAACATGCTGACTGAACTGATTTAGAGCACAATGATTTAGACCACTGATTTCAATAATGAACTAAATTAAAAAGTAGAAAGCCTTTTATTTATTTTTCTAAAGAAAGGTTAATTGTCACTTGCTGGTAAAATTTAATAACACTTTTTGCTAACCAGGAGTATATGCTATCTCCATACACATTTAAGTATGTTTAAACTTAACATAGATTTATTCAGGCAGGAACAGTGTATCAGGCTGTATTGGAAGGAAACTGACATTGAATTAAAATGAATAAAAAGCAGTATTTTGAAGAATGTTTCTATTAAATAAAACTACTTTGAAGGTAAGGGATAAAGAAGAAAAAAATAAGAACTAAACATGCTTTGCATTAAAAACTGCATTATTAAATAAAATATTACTGCCTGTAGTTACTGAGTTAAACTAATTTCTGGTCATCATGTCCTTCAAGATTTTAAAACTAGTAGATGTGGTCCTCTTACACTTTGTTTTTTATGCTTAACTTGGAAGACATAGGCTTTCCTAGTTTTTCTGTTCCAACTTGGTTTCTCAATTTTAAAAACACTCCCCATTAAGTTGAAGTAGTTCAATGAACTGCAATGAAAAAAATATTTTCCATGCAGAAGAGGCTGCTGCTATCAAAAGCTGTTTAGCACCACAGCAAACTCTGGTTCCAGGTGCTTAGCCAGAGATTTCCACCAGGTCAGTGATCTGACTTTGCTGCCAAAATTTTTTTTAAATCTATACTTGCTTGAAAAATTACTTTTTGTTTAAATGATGAATACATCTAGGCTTCAACATGAACTATCAGTTTCAAATTTACGCAAGTTTATTTTTAAAAAGGAAAAAAAAAAATCAAATTAAAAAAAAATCTTTAAGTTTCAATTTCTGTCCACTCCGATCACAAAATTTTTAAGTACAGATGCAACCTATTGTGCTGTCCCCACTGCTTCTTAATTATCACTGTGTAACAACTATTTGAAAAAAATGGCTTCTTTTAAAGACACTAGTACAATTATAAGTATTCTAATGCGGGGGAATGTAGATGAAAAATACAGCAGTCTGACAGACAGGTAACTGTTTGGTTCAAGAGAGGAAAAATAGCTATTTTTTAACATACTAAGCAAATTTTGTTCTATATGTTGTACTGGAAGGTATTTTTTCTCTAGCAAAAGTTAGTTAACATTAGACACTTCTGCTAGGCTCCTTTAAGTTGAGAAAAAGGCTGGTAAGAGTAGGATTTGGCATCTAGGCATTTCTACATTTATTTTCACATTTTAAATTCCTTGAAATCATGGCTGGCCAGCCTGCTTCAGATTCTGATGTGGAAAGAAGCCAAGAAACTAGACAAGGGGCAAGTCCACACATGCATGCACGTGTACTTGCAGCCGCTCAAATAAGAGCAGCATAAATTTGTGCTGGGGATTTTTTCCTGAACAAGCACTTTAGTGTGGGGCAAGTTGTGCTACTTGGGGCAAACTGACCCTGCCCAGCTCTTCCCAGATCTGTAGCCAGGGGGAGCTGGAGGCTGGGGTCAGCACCTGTGCCAGCCCCAAGAGTATAAAAAGCTGCTCTGTCAAGCAACTCAGGGCTACTTGCTCTTAGCAGTTTCTCAGGCCCAGCCAGTTGGTATCTGGGGACACTAGCCCCTCATGACAGCTGGATTGCTGCAGCAGCCCTGCCCTGAAGCGGACCCTACCCCTTCTATCCATTGCAGCAGCCTGGCAGCAGGGGCTGCTGCCTGGCTGTGGACTGCCCCCTGTGACAGCATCCACCCTCTTGGACCAGCAGCCCCATGTCTGCATGCCTGCCAGATCTGGACTGTGACTGCATGGCTGCCTGGGCTGTGGCACTGGCACTGTAACAGAGCTGTCTGCACCTTTGGGCTAGCTATCAGGGGCCCATGGCTGTACAGTTGGCCTTTGTACAGCACTGCTGCCATGTGTGCCCCTGCCCTGCCATCTGAGCAGCTACTGCCTGGAAGGTGTTCTCAGTGTGGTGGCCTCCTTTGAACTGTCAAAGCATGACCTCCTGGCCCCAATTGGCCAGGAGGTCAGCCACCTTGTTTGCCCTCCAGCTGGGTCCCAGGTGCCAGCCCTGAGCAGGCTCCTCTGCCTGGGTCCTGCCACTAGCCCCACTAGCAGGAATCCTGGTGTTCCCTATTTAAAAACTGCAAAATCTCTGATAAAAAATCCCAGATTCACTCTTTAAAATACCCCAAAAATCCATGTTATTCCACAATTAAAACAAAAGACCACTATATATATATGTGTGCGTATGTATGCATGTATATATAGAGAGAGAGAGAGAGAAAGAGAGAGAGAGAGATCGATTAGTTGGCAAGTGTTTTATTGATTTAATTTACAACTTTAAAGCAATTTGGGAGCCTACCAGTGCCTCTATCATCATCATCAAATACATTCTAAATATCTAAGTTTTGATGTTTGTTTTTGGTTTTCTTATCATAGAAAAATTAGAGCTTTCCCTGAGCCCTTTGCTAAACAGGATGTGGGGACAGCTGCCCCTGCAGCCACAGCTCCTGCCAGCAGGTCTCATTGCGTTTAGCAGCAGGACACACTGGGTGTGTGATGGGGGGATGTGGGGATTGCAGCAGTGCAGTGGGAAGGAGTGTGGGTGGGTGTAGGGAGTATGTGGGGTGTCTGGGTAGATGTGGGGTTTGTGGGAGGAGTTGAGAGGGGCCACCACACACCCACTCCCTGCAGCACACAGTTCCCAGTGTTGGCAGCACTGCCTCACTTGCGGTCTGTGCATGGAGAACAGGCGTGGCCCAACCTGATCCAGTCACTCCCCAACCCCCCCGCCTTCCTCACACATCCCACATCCCCGACACACCCACCCACACACCCAGAAACCCTGCCAGAAACTACACAGCCCCACCACCCCCAGTCCTTGCTTACCTGGGACAGCGCCTAGGGCCAGGTCACGTCGCAGCCTTGCCCCACTCCTGTTTGCCCTGCACGCTAATGCAGTGTTCTAGGGCAAGAGAAGCACCATAGAGATGCTCTGGCCAGATGCCAAAGCATCTCTGGCGGACCCAGGCTCCGCTTGCCTCAGGGCATGCTGCAGAACCATGCCCTATGTTGCTTTTTTCCCTATGTGTTATTTTTTGATACCTGGAAATCCAGGTATCAGATTTAGAGCCTGCGCTGCAAGTATGCAGCACAGGGAACATTATTTTGTTCTTAGGGTGCCTCTTCTGGCATCTGAAACTGGTTTGAGATGCCGGAACAGGCACATAAGACACTCGTCTGGACATGCCCAAGAAGACAGAAACAGGAAAAAGAACTAGCTAGGAGCAACCACCTCCCCCCCGAATATTATTATGGGAGTTGATGTTCCTATCTACAGGATCATACTGAGGCCTGGTAAGTGTCTTCTGTGATCACAAAGCATTAGCAGGTTAACACAGTGATTGTTGCCACTGTGACTCCTTCAAGTAACCATCCTAAAAATAGTCCTAACATACCTCTGTGAAACAGTTACCTCTGTGAATCTCAGTTAGGTAGAGGCTGCATATTATGGAATGTTCTTTTAATTTGAAAAGTTTAAAACAACAGTCTCTTGGACTTTTACCTGGTGGAATCTTTTCAGATGGAGAACAAGAATGGCAGGAACTGCAGAAATTAACAGTTGTTTCCGGGCATTAGTGTACACACCTTCCATTTTCTTTTCTGTAAAGAGATTGCATACAGATTATAAAACAATAATTTATAAAAAGCAAAATGATAATAGAGAATAATACAATCATTTAGAAAAGTATTCCAAAAAAGAGGAATTTAGGTTGCAATGTTTTTCCTCAGGAAGACATTCCAATTTATTTTATTGTTTACATCCAGCAAAAAAATAATTTTTGAACAAAATTTCTGTTCTGTGTATTTAAGAATATAATACCATGAAATACACTTAAAAAAAAAGTCTAAGCAGAACTTTGTAGTGTGAGTCAGAGCAGGAGTGGAAGGAAGAACACTCCTTAGCTTATCTTATTTTTAATACCCAACTCTACCAGCTCTTGGCTACCACCATGATCTTTCAACTAGCTAGAATAAGCAACATCATTAACGTCTATTATACAGACCAACAACAAATGCATATTTGCATAGTTTCTAGGGCTGTGAGGGGGGCAGCTTTGTCTTGCTTTGTTTCTCAATAAGCATTTTATAGAAAGTGAGACAGGTTTGGCAGAAGGGACTGAAGGACACCCTTAGAATACCCTATAACCTGGTAGTATCGCCAATTTTCTGGAAGGTGGGGCAAATGGGTTCAAATCCTCTGAACAATGAGGGAAATGAACCCAGGATGTTAAGATCTTGTGTGACTTCAACCTGATACACAAATGAGAAAAATGGGGAATACATCATAAGCAACTCTAAATCTAAGAGTCTAACCCAGGGGTAGGCAAACTTTTCCAGCTGCAGGCTGGAATGTCCCACCCCAGAGTAGAGGCAGGTGGGTGCTAGGACTTGGACACCCTCACTGCTTGTCCCTACAGGAGCATGGAGAAAACACCTGCAACCAAAGCCCCCTACTACTGTGATGCCGAAGCCCCAGTCTGCAGGCTGTATCCAATGGTGCCAAGGGCCAGATCTGGCCCACAGGCCATAGGTTGTCAGCCCTGGTCTAACCCCTCATAACATTTGCTTTCTTTTAAGCATCCAATATTATACGGTCACTGACAGGCATTCATTTTAAGATATGATGGGATATAATTTGTGATCCCCACAATCCTGCCTCCTGTCATGCCACATACACACAGCTGACAAGCAATTTTGGAATAGATTGGATCCCAATCTCATCTTACTTGCCAGTGAAAGAGGAGCCCAGGATTATGAGCCCAGGATCCCCCTGCACCAGCAAGTTGAAACCTGGCTGTCCACAATCATCTGATTGTCAGTAGGGACTGGAAACTAAACAAGGATCTGGAACTGGCCTCAGTCTAGTCCCTGGCCCCAGCTGACAATCAGTTGAACAACACACAGGGTTTTCACAGATCCCAGCACACAGGGACCCTGGGATCAGGCTGCTGCAATCTGATTGTGTGGTCGTGGTATGCAGGCATGAGTAAAAACCATCCAGCTGGGCACCACACAGGGTTTCCACCAGTTCCAGTGCTTGGAGATCCCAAGATCGAGTTGCAGCTGCTCAGTAAGTGAAAACCATGCATGATGCCCAGCACTGCAGCACAGGTTCTGGAGCGTAGGGACTTGGGGATCAGGAAACCTCTCCCTAGTCCTGGGATTGGGTTGTGCTGGGTCCTTTAAAATTCTGTGTGTGCACCTGCACACATGGTTTTCTGATAGCCCTAGTGCATGGGGACCTCAGAATCAGGGAAAGGCTCCTTGATCCTGGGATCCCCAAGAGCCAGGGAGGTCAGAAAACCATGTGTGCAACTGCCTATTCTAGGCATATTTATGCCAATTTTCCACCATGGGCATTTCCCATGCTTCTGGGTTTTGTTGGTTGCTTCTGTACACCCCGTGTCCCCCCACCCCAACCCTTTTTCTGCACTATGTGTCAGGTTGTTTTTAAGCTTCCTCAGAGGCACTGGGTGTTGGCAAGAACTAAGGCTGGGGACTTCAGCTGGGGTGTGCTGATTCCCCTGCTAGAAGCAAAGCCAGATGTTCCTGGCTAGAGGGCCTTGCTCCTCCACTAAGGGCCAGACTGATTGCCATATTTGGGGTCAGGAAAGAATTTTACCCCATGATCAGATGAATAGGGACTATGTGGTTTTTGCCTTCCTCTGGAGCAGGGGCCATGGCCCTCCACTCGGGACCTCTTGAGCATATATTGACAACATTTTATTGAAGAGGACAATGGCTGCCATGGTTCCCTTGCTTCACCTGTGGCAGGTTAGGGTGTTTGGTCCATGTTGTGTCAGGATTGAGGGTAGTCTTATGTAGAGTTAAGATTATGGTTGCATGGGATGGCTTGGATAGGGATGATCCTGCCTCAGGCACGGGGGTTGGACTAATGACCCTTCCAGCCCTACTTCTCTATGACTATGATAATATGTGGAATAACTGTATTATTATGCCTTAAATTAATTTGAACATATGGCCAGGTTACCATTTAAAGCATGATTAACCTGCTAATCGCATCTTAAATGTAATGTGCGTCATGGCTTACTTCATTTCAGCTTGAATGTAAACTTTGTCATATGATATGAAATCAACTTTTTATTTTATTTTGGTTACAAAAAATGAAAAAAGTAGTAGAATTAGAACTGAATGGTTCTTCAATATTTTTATTTGGTTCTTGAACTGAAAAATAAAACCCTTGCACAACTCTTACTCTCAGGGCAGTGTCCTGACTACTTGAACAAGCTGCCTTACAAAAATGGAACTGGAAAATTCCAGTTGTAGAGGCAGTTTTCAGAATAGGGTCAAACTTTAACCTGATCTCTTCATGTTGTGTGAGCCTGGGGAGAATTCTTTTATGTATTTATACATACATGTAAATGCTTGCTCATGTTACCTCTATATTTTTTAAGAAAAATCACAAAAATCCAGGGTTCTACACAACATCAGATTTTAATACTTATAGAAGGAAAGTGGCCTCTATCTTACAGGAGTACGTACAGGAGACAGTCAACAAGGGGAAGACAACTTTTGAATATTGGGGTGCTACATGGTGCAGTAAAAATTAAAGTGTGTGGGAGGGGTGGGTGGAAAGGGCAGAAAACCCAACAAAAGAAAGAAGACTAAAAAAAATTCTCTCATCTTTTCTAAGGGATAGAAATAATGAAAAAAGCACAGTCAAAAAATGAAGAAGCCCTTGCAGCACAAGGAAGGTGTGTAGGCCCCAAGTTAAAGCTGATATAATTGCTCCAACTCTAGCCAGTGTAGTCCAGAGGAATTCAGAAGCCAGTGTCCTTATCCCCTTGGCATAGACTGAGGGCAGACTGTGTCTATTGTACACCCAATGCATACTACTGAGATAACAAGCTTCCAATTCGGTGCATGTACACTCACATTATGAAAAGGCCCCTGTGGACAATCGTCTCAAAGGAGAACCCATTTTGTTGACTCACACATTCTTACTTACAGGATTTCTCCGAGCAGTGGGGTTTCAAGCACTGAATATTAAAACATTTATTCTTTGCCTGTCGGGGACTTTGTAAATATGAAAAATCATAGGTCAAATGCTGAACCTATCAAATGTTAAACAGTCCTATTATGTTATTCAGGTTGTACCAAAGGAGTGTAGAATTCTGAATCTGAATTTAAACTGGTATCAAATTACATGTCATTACATGTGTATACAATTACTTTGTATTAAAGTTTAGTTTCACCAACTTTAACTGAAACTTACAGCTATTTATTTCACCACCAGAGGGAGCCCATGCAGTTCAACAGAGACTGACATTGACAACTAGAGCAAGGAAGCAGTTGAAAGGAAATATATTTAACTGATTAACATATTTCAACAAACATTAGTATGTTACCTGTGGAGTTTGTTTTCTTTTGATACTTCTGTTTCCTTTCTGTACACCTCTCACATAAAAGCTTGTTGTTCCCCATTAACAGCTCCACAGATGTAAACTGGTAGAGGCAGGACTGAACAGAACATTCTTTAGAGCTAGTTGAATATGTTTGAGAAAGGGTCTGAAAAGCATTTTGGGGGTTTTTGGACACAGGGGACTTTTCCATTGAAAACATTGAATTGCTTGACAAACTTAATGGTGAATCCCCAGTGATGGTCTCTTCACATTCTTTTACAGTATCGCTGAGGCTGAGTTTGGATATGGCAGTGATAACAGTCACCTCATTGTGACTATCGCTTGGTTTGCTGTTTGGTGGTTTGACATTTCCTGATAAATGGTTGAGCCGGTCGACATGCAAACCAGATGTGTTACTGGATGTGCCAAAAAGTGACTGTGTAGAAGCACTTTCACCTTCCGAGGCTTCGCTGTCTGCATCAACACTACTTTCAGAACAACTGATATCTTTTTCACTGCCTTCAGTCTGACTTCCATTTACTGCAGACTCAGGAATTGTGTCTTCTGAATACAGAACTCCAGAGCCACATTCTGCTTCAAGCTTATCATCTTTTTCATGCATGATAACAGGACTTCTATCTTCCCCACCAGAGGAGGATTTTCTGGAAAGACGTCTTTCATAATTTAACTGATTCTGCAAATATTATTGAAATATTTCAAAAATAGAGGCGAGAGAGAAAATAGATTTGTGAAACTAAAGTAACAGCAAATATAACTTATATTTTCAAAGCAAAATAAAGACCTGTATTGTATTGATCTGGTTTCACCATGTTCTAAAACCCTACTTCTTTAAATTGTTTAGACAAATTGGTGTTTGGATGTAAACTTATATATTTGGCAGCCACAGATCCATAGTGACATCTGTCTTACCCATTCTAATTATATCAACTTTATAACATTATAACTTGATCCATACATGGTAAAGGATTCCATATTTGATTTGTGAACTTAGAATGAGAGATCAGTTAGACTAATAATTTGTGCTGCCAATGAAAAACTAGCACACACAGACCTATACTAAGATTGCATCCTCACAACTAAATTCTACTTTGCTTGGAACCTAGGTTTTAAGACATTTTGAATTGTTTTTAAAATTTAGAAATATTAAAAATTGTTAATAAAAATGCCTGTTTACGAGAAGAGAGAACCAATTTTTTACCAGACAAATTCTGAAAAAAAGAAAAAGGGTTCACAACATTTTCCATTTGGGATCACTTGCCTCTTCTTATCTTTGTTCTAATACAGTGATTCTCAACCAGGGTGCTGCTTGGGGTGCCTCCAAATATTTTGAAGGGTACTATGAGGTATGAGGAGATAAGCAGAAAGCTAAGCAGGTAAGCCAGGCTCAGGCTTGTCCATGACTGGACAATCTCTTACCACTACTGTAAGAACCTACAGCAGGGATAGGCAACATTTTTTGGCCAGAGTGCCGAAAAAACCACAATGTCTACCTTGGAAGGTGCTGGAGTGCTGACATGCCAGAGCCCGGAGCAGCTGTTTGCAGCCTCCCTGCTGCAGCCAGCCCTAGGAGCCCGGTCTGCTTGCAGCCTCCCAGTCGCCTGCTGGGAGCAGCCTGGACTCCGTGGCTGGCAGCAGCTGCTTGGAACCCGGTCTGGCGGTCGTGCACTGAGCAAAATGGCATTGCGTTCCATGCTCGGCATGCATGTAAGCACTGTAATGTATAGTTTTTGAAACCGGGTGCCACTCAATTCACAAAAGTTATGGAGGGTACCTCAAGTGCAGGAAGGGGTGCCTTGAGTCCAAAAAGATATGAACCACTGTTCTAATATCCTAATCTTTTGTAGTTACTTATGATAATATGGTTGCAATTGGCTGTGATCACGGGAGAGACTCGGTTGGTTTTGGTGATAAGGAGTTGCAAGGCTGTTTGTTGCTTGAGTAGGCCCTGGAAACTGCTGGAGTGGGTTGAAGAGAGTTCTAGGTTGGGACAGGCTTAAAGATGGAGGTTCAAGTGATGATAAACTGATACCTGCTCACACCTGCATTAATCTCAAAACACTTTGTGTAGCCAAGTTTAAAATATTTTACCATATACTTCATTCACCTAATCTGTACTGATTACTTTATTCTTGCAGCACTGTAAATGTGTTAAGGATTATCGTTATAATCTTTATTATGTTTTTCTGTGATAGGTCTATTTTTGATCATCTGTATGTGGTTTCAGTATCTGCAGATGGATTTTTTTAAAACTTTGATTCAAAGAGCCAGAGGCAAGAAGAGGATAACTTTTCACCCACAAGAAAATACATCATTAGGCCAGTTTTTAGTAGACTTATACTCATCTCGCAGCTTTCTCTTCTCCCCTCCTCCCGCCTCTTTTGGCCTCTCTGGTATCTACACTTCAATTACAAAATTGTAGTCAACCTACTTCTCTGTTCATTCCTAATTCATTTTCTCAGTCAGATCCAAATTCCAGTTAAGCCCATAAGACTCTTCCAGTTAACTTCAAAAGGTTTTGGATCTAGTCCTTTATCTCCCACCATTATGAATGCCTATATTTTTTTCCTTCCATCTTTTCTACTGTTTCTATTACACCTTTCTTTTTTATACTTCAGTCTCATTTATCTTTCCTGCATATTCTCTAGTGCTATGCTACTGTCTCTGCTTTCTTCATGTTCATTGTTTGTGTTAAAAGCATGAGTCAGAGGGTTTTGGAGCATATGCTCAATTTTAAGTTTTAAGTACATACTTAAATCCACTCAAGTTAATGGAAATCAAGCATGTTCCCAAAAGTTCTCCTAGACAGGGACAACCTTTTGTGATTTGGAGCCTTAAACTGGGAAGTAATTGTGCTATTTAGCAAAGAAGAAATAAAAAACAAACAAAAACCCACTGACTACCCACCGTGCTATTTTCCACTAGTCAGAAAAGTTTCTTGTCCCAGTGAAGTTTGTTTTATTTCTACAAGTTATACAAAGAAACTAATTCCCTATTGTCACTAACTCCTATTAGAACTCGTGGATATTATGCAAACAACACTCATTAAGCCCTTAAAGCTGTTAAGTCTAGTTTGCTGAATAAAAGCATTAGGCCTGGCAACCAGTGCTTGGATGCCTTCCTG